AGGTTAGAGATCAGAAGGCAATATTTTACAGTTAGGGTGACGAAAATCTGGAACCAACTTCCAAGTGAAGAGGTCCTTGCCCCTACCTTGGGCAAATTCAAGAGGGGGCTGGATGATCACCTGTCTGGGGTCTAGTGAACCCAGCATTCATTCCTGCCTGTGGCAGGGGTCAGGCTAGATTTTCTGTTCAGGTCCCTCCTGACCCTATCTTCTATGAAACTATGAAACACAAACAACCTAATTAGTTAAAGTTGTTTCTTACAGTGGCTCTTGGAATTATTCTAATTGCAGCATAGCTTTACTTGCACAATGAAGACATCACAACATGTGCACAGTATGTAGGACAGCCTGCCAGGAGGAGGGAAAAAGCAATAACAGATTGTACTGCTGCTGGTGACCAGCTGAGGGAGCTCTTTCTGGTCAGAAGCACTACTTAAAGAAGTAAATTGTTGCCCTGTGGGGTCAGGCCAACTCTCAGGATCTCAATATTGCATTGTTAGACAGGAGGGTGTGACACAATTGCACATATACAAACACACAAATCAATTAGGTCCGCGCGCGCACACACACACACACACACACACACACACACACACACACACAACCAGCTCAGGCACATACATACTTATCACAAATTCAAGCACATACAGTATACACCCCAAAAGTTAGACATAGATCACTAATTCATATATCATGCACACAGTGACATACGCACACACTCACCAGTTCACACACCTACCTACACATACACACAGGTAAGTTCCTAACTTGGATGGTACAGTGTGTATGTGTGTGCTTGGGGTACCTGGGATACTTGGGGGAAGGTTCAGGTGAGAGAGAGAGAGAGTTAAAGTTTAGGGAGTGAAAGTTGCCAGAACTGGGATTAGAACTGGTGGACTACAGAGAAGCTGGATGAGGAACTGAGGCTTGGGTTTGACTTAAGGTAGACCAGGGCTGGAAACTGAGGCAGACAGCTGAGATATTGGTGGGGGAGGGGCAGATAAGTGATGTCAAGGAGGAGACAGCCAGGAAAGAAACTGAGGCAGAAACCTGGTTGTTCAGGGGAAAAGGAAAAGGCAGCGGGGATAAGACCCTGGCAAAGAAACAGGGGGTTTGGAGGCAGAGAGGAGCTCAGGACAGGTGTTGGAGGTAGCAGTGAGCCAGAAGCAGGAGAGGAAGAAATGATACAGAAGTCAGAGGGGCGAGGAGCAGAGACTGGAGCAGGGCTGAACCATAGTAAAGCAAAACCCAACTTAGGGATCCAAATAATAGTTTTATTACAAAGACAACACACTACACAGCCCCATGAATTATTGGTTCGTGCGCGTGCGCGCACACACGCATGCATGCGTGCAATCACAATGGCAGCAGGAGAAAGAGACTCAGTGAAAGGGCTGGAGTCCAGGTAGGAAAGAGGAACAGAGTCCAAGTCCTTGGTTGAGGAGAGGGTGGTGGTGGTGGGGTGGGGGGAGTGATAGCTACCTCTCCAGGCTGGAAAGGGAGCCTTGTCCAGTAGGTGTTGTCCAGAGAGGGGTCACCAGCAGGACCTCTGGATGGATAGATGGTGTGGCATGGTGCTGGTCCAGATGGAGAGGACACCCCACTGGGTCTGTTTTCACTGCCCCTTTTTATAGGGGCAGACCTTGTGTGACTCTAGTGACAGGAGGCATACCCAGGCAAGGGTCAGCCCCTGGCGTACTGCACATGTGTTCTCCATGCGGTGATGTGCAGTTTCGGGTGTCTGTAATGGTGGGGTACAATGGTAGAGTTGCTGGTTCTGCAGGGTCTTTTGTCTTTCAAATGCTGGATTCTTGTCTCTGTTCTTGGGTGAGGTCCATGGTTCCTGGATGAATCAAGACAAGGTGATGGCCTAGTCATTACAGGCCATTCAGTAGAGGCCTGCTACCATTATTTTTCAATCATTCCCAATCACTCTCATTCATCCAGGAACCAATTTACATGGGAGGGGTACATGAATCATACAGTTGCAATACAGGGGATGCCCAGGCAGAGGACACAAGATGGAGGCTTGACATACAAAATGGAAACTTGACACGACTTGCACTAACTTACATATATAGGCCTAAAATAGTAATCACACAATATAAAAGCAGTATAAACATAATAATGATCACTTATAAAACAGTCAGTATCGATATCAAAATAGGGAACTTATTTGCAAAGAGGGGAGAGAAAAATAAAACTTGCTACCTAAAATAAAGAGTTAAAGCTTATCCTACATCTTAGCTTACTAATATGTATCTACAGGGAATAGAGAGGGAGAGAAAAAGTCAGAAATGGGGAAGGGGAAGGAATGCATTTTAAAATAAATAAATAAAAAAAGAAAAACAGGGGTTTTTGCTACAAGATGACTCTACTAAGGAGTAATCCTTCAGGACTCCCAGAGTCTCCCCAGGAAACAAGTTTTAGGGGGGAGAGATTGCCTCCCCCTCATGGGTGACTGGTGCCTCCTGAGTCTGGGGTGGGCACCAGATCACCAATGGGGGGGGCGTCCCCCAGCCACCGAGGTGGCGGTGGTGTCTGTGATCAATCACCAAGCTAGTGGCGAAACCGGAAACGCACTTCCACCGGCGCTTCTGGTTTCACGGCTGGTGCTTCCAGGGGGTGCATGGCTGATCTCAGGGGGTGTGTGTGCACCTTCTACTTGTTGCCAATGCGCACACAGGCAGGGACACCCTGCCCAGCTGGAACACAGCCTGGGTCTCCTGGAAAGAAGCAAGCATGGGGGGAATCCCACCCCCTCTCACCTCTCCCCACACATGAAAGGAGCCAGAGACACCTGCCTGGCTACAGTGCAGTCCAGTCTCCCGCAGCTGAGATCCCAGGCTTAGCTCCAGCATGGCAGGGGTGCCCCAGTCCACTTGCTCTGTGCTTGCATGAGGACAGGAGGTGCATGGGGTTCTCCTCCTGGGTGTTGCTGGATAGGGGGAAGGAGCCTAGGGTTTAAATCTCTGCTAGGACAGGGGTTTCCTTCTTGTTCTTTTTCTGAGAAGTTTACACTGAAGAAGGAGCAATGCTGGAGGACACACAGATTGCTATCACTTAGTGAATTCCTTGCTACGCATGCAAATTAAAGCTGGGCAGCAACCAGCTATAAAGTTAATACACATTTTTTGAGATCTAACTTTATAGCCAGTTGGAGCTTTTAATAGTGGGATAGCTACTTTGCACATATAGCTGGTCTCAGTTAATTGTGCAATTAACCGGTTAATTGCACAATAACTGTAACAGGTAGAGGGGGCCTTAACTATGTGAAATTCAGGGTAAAGGAAGAGGTTGATTTGCCAAACAGCGGAACATGTAGCATATTTTCTGTGTAAAATATGTCGAGAGGATTTAAGCACTTTATCACAAAGGGACTTGCTCTAATTACATTTTGCCCAACTGACTTCTCATTAAGCCATGCACAAAGGCTCCTCGGGAGATTACTTCTATGGAAATCTTCTGACACTGTTAGTTATGTAGCAGTTGTATAATGAAGTTAGTTTGAATGAAGTGCTTTTGTTGGAAATCTTTCTCCTAAAGTACACAGATTAAAGCAAGTAAATCTATCAAAATGTTTGACTACATTTGACCTCCCATCCCTACAGCTCATGTATCATGCCCAGGTCAGATGCTCAGAAGATTCAGACATACTCTTCCCTTCTGCTTTCTTTAGGGTTTTCCAAGCAGCTAAGACATAGACAAGAGTTCTCCACGTACACTGCTACCTGTAGTACCAGTGCCAGCGCCTATTAAAGCCACATACAAAGTATTGAAGAGAATTTTAAATTAGAGTAATTAAAAACTGTTCTAATTGCAGTTGGATTAAATTGCCTTAATTATATTGGACCATGTTGTAACAGTCAGTAGTAGTTTGGTGAAAGTTTTTTTTGGTTGAAATTTATTCTTCAGTGATGAATCCAATGTAGAGTCTCACTGAGTTTGGCTTTCTTGATTTGTCCCAGTGAAAAGCAAATTTTTGTATGTAAAAATGGCTGTAAAGCCAGTCGGCCATTTTAGAGGAAGTGCAAACTGGATTGGACCAATGGAGAGAAGTGCCAGCAGGAAGAGAAATAAAGATTAGTCAATCCAAAATGGAATATCTGCACTGTGATTCCTCTGAGGTACCTGATGTTGGAAATATGATGACAAACATGTTTCATAAGTTGACAAGTTCAAGTATCTGGGGTCAATTGTTCAGTGGAATTCAGAGAGAGGTGCAGAGTTGAACCATCGAATAACAGCAGTTAAGACAAACTGGAAATTGGTGACAGGAATATTATTCAATAGAAGAGTGTCAGTGAAGCTGAAGGGAAAAGTCTACAAGACGTGTGCATCTAGTGCTATGGTATGGAGTAGAGACATGACTGCTGAAGAAAACACAAGAAAGGCTACTGAATGTAACAGAGATAAGAATGCTGTGATGGATGTGTGGAGTGACAAAGATGGATAAAATGAGGAATACTTGCATCAGAGGATGGGTGAAGGTAGTGGAGGCATCTAAGACACTACAAGAGAGAAGACTGGCATGGTATGGATATGTTCAAAGGAGTCCAGAAGAACATGTAGGAAAAGAAGTTACCAGAATGACACTACCAGGGAGAAGGGAAAAGAGAAGACCAAAGATGAGACAGAAGGACATAGTGGAGAGGTACATGAGAGAGAGAAGGTGTTGAAAGAAGAAAATACAAATGAGTGAAGACAGTGGAGAGCCAGAATCCACAACAGTGACCCCATTAGATGGGACAAGTGAGGGAAGAAGTAGTAAAAATGGCTGTAAAAAAAAATGATACTTATCTATGTTGTATATTTAAAAATAACATTTTCCAAATACCTTAACTACACTGATTACAGGTTAGGTTTTGAGACTATATCAATTATTATTTCACAGTACCATTTCCCTATAATTTAATCACTCCTCAAAAAGATTCCTGTAACACTAGACCTCCTTCTAGCAATGTGGTATTCATTTCATTTTCAAAACTTTAATTTTAAAAGTTTTGATTTTATAGCATTATCACAATTAGAATGGCAATGTTTCTGTTCTTGTTCAATTTCTGTAAATTCCTTTTAGTGAATTCTTCTTATTTCTGCCTTTGCCAAAGAGAAAGCCCTTGGTAACATTCTGGACAGGAGGGAGTTAGATGGCTGTGTAAGGGCCATGTCATGCATTACATCAGCATGTATGAAATGCACTTAAAATGCAAGCAACCACACATCTGAGGGGTAAAACACTTGCTAAGTGCATTTATATCATACTAGTTATGACTCTTTGCATGAGGTAGCTCCAGATTATATAAAGTTATATGTTCAGCTATTGTCATGAATGGCTCATGCCCCCAGTGGCTGGGGGGACATGGCTGCACTGGAGGCAGCAGGAGTGCAGCAGTGAGAGCCTGGTGGTGGTAAGCAGAGGAGCTCCCACAGACGCTGCTAGCACTATCGGCAGTGGGGAGCGCCAACTAGGGGGTGGATACCACCTGTGACTGCCTGCAGGGGGTACACTACTATGCTTAGGGGGTGCACGTGCACCTGTGTGCACCCCTGTGTGTTGCCCCTGGCTATTGTCAGACTGCTACATGGGCATACCATGAACAATTTGTGGTCTTCCTTGCACCAGCAGGATCCAGCAGCAGACTGGCAGCCGTTCCCAGGCTTGGCTTCCTGTGCCTCCCTCTGCCTGCCACAAAGGGCAGAGAGCCCTGGCTCTCCTTGGTGTGCCAGAGGCAGACGCTCCCTAGATGAGCAGTGGCCAGGATGCAGGATCTGGGCATAGGGTTTGCAAAGGAAGATGATAAAATTGGAAGCCAGCAGCGAGTAGCACTGGGGCACAGGTGGCAAGTGATACCATCACCACAGGGCTGGCACATCTTACTGGCTGAAATGTTCCTATGGAGCATTTTTACTCAGAAGCAAGGTGGGTCTATGCAGGTGGGGAATATGGAGTGAGCTGTGAAATGAGTGTCCTGCCTGCACCTGTCCCTGTCCCATCACCCTGGGAACCTGCCCAGTCCCTTGCTGGATCCTGTTGCCTCCAGCCTGCATTCCCAGGACGTGTTCCTGTGTCCAACCTTGGTTAACTCTTCCCCACGCCCCTGTCCTCAACAGCCTCTTTACCTAGTGGCCCTGGCCCCAACCCTTCTTCTAGAACTCATCAGCTGATATTTAACAGAGTGCAATGCAGACTTAAGGAGATGCACCGCTGACCAATGAAACAATGAAGGCAGCCCTGGAAGCCCCACACTGAGAAGTTTCTAGGAGCCAGCAGGGCAGCAGATGTGGGTCTCGAGGTGGCAGCATGGGGCAGGATCTGTGCTTGTGAGGCATGCACCAGCTGCTGTCTAGGCTCAGGCACTGGTGTTGGCATGGATGGAGATGGGGATGGGCACCTGTGGCATTTCCAAGACATCAAAGCCTAAGTGAACACTGCCTCTTTCCTGAATTTGCTGAAGTGGGAGTTTGGCTGTTGCTGTTACAGAGCAAAGCTTGTGTGAAAAAGGCATCTGTTAAAGCTCTGGTGAACAAAAGAAATAAATCCCCAAACAAAACACTTGCAGCTAGTGGAGGAGCACAAGTTGTGCGTATTATGAGATAGTAAGTATTACCATGCAACTGCTTAGAGCATGTTCTAACTTTAATACCACACAGGTTTAACACATATTGGGCACACCTCCATGCGATGCTCCGTCACCATAGCAATGTGTTACAGCAGTGTAGCATCTGCAGGCAAAACCTACAATGCTGCAGCTATGTCATCATAGCAATTGCTCCCTCAGTATAGCGTGCCACTATGGCAATGTAGCAGCTAAAAATAACTGTGCACTATGCACAAGGTGCAGTATGGGCTGCTACTGTGTCATCATTTCCAAAAGAAGTACTAAATGATGGTGCAGTAACAACAGCACCCTAGGAGCACCTGTAGATGTGCCCACTTAGTGTGCTGTGTGACAAGGCATTTACAAACCACCCAATGTGAGTAAGTACTATTCAAAAGGCAACATCAAATTATTGCCCTTCAGGAAATAAAACTTGATTTGCCACCACCCCTCATCAAGTAAAGCACAAACAGGGCACATCTATATGTGCAATTAGTGCACATTTCACATCACAGTTTATTGCATCCGGACGAGATGTTTCCACATGTGCCCGGGACCACAGCACATTGAGCTGGGGCAGAGCAGCCTGAGCCAGCTGTGAAGGGGTTGGCTGGGGCATGAGGGTGCTTCATTGAGGGGTTAGCCAGCAGGCAGGACCTTCATGCCCCAGGCAACTCCATCAGTATCAATGCATGCATTTCAGCAGAGTAAATAACTCCACCATAGACTCATATTTGTCTGACAGTACTATCATATGGTGAAGTTAATTAGTTTACTTCTGTCCTAATAGCTTTGGACATGTCAATGCTGACATTTTACTGTGGAGCTAATTAGGCAACTCCACAGTAAATGTCTCATGTAGACATGCCCACAGAATATTGGAAGGATTGGAAAACGTTGATTCCTTTTGGATTCAGACAGCACAGAAAAGGGAGATGGTGAATGGATTTAAAGGGAAAAGCTTTTGTTTCATTTTATTAAGATACTCTTGTTGATAGTAAAAGCATAATCTGGATGTATCCTGGGTGCTCCACAAAAAAAAAAAAGGTAAAAGATGTTGGATTGGGTCATTAGCTTCACTGTCTTTTCAGCTGTCTGATCCCACAGCTGCCTAGCTAGTAAGTTAGTCCCAGCAACAAAGGTGAGCAGCCTAAATACTATTTCATTTTATACTGGCTGCCTATAGGAAAATGCTTTACAGTTAATGCTGAAAATGTATGTTAGGCCCAGGTCTAGCACTGCGTAAAACCAGCCACATGCACATCTCCCCTTACCTACCTAAGTTTTAAAACTAAATATCTATGTTGAGGGAAAGTGTTACATCCTTTGTTCTGTGTATCTTGCCATTAACTACAGTATTTCTACTTTCCCCTTAGCATGAGTAATTGCCAGTAATATACTGCTGCATTGTGGTTTCTTCTACTCCCCAAACTCATGGAAGGAGAGAATACAGACTCTGTAATTTGAAAGAGAGAGACATATAGCACCATTTTCTTGATAAAATTAAATGAAAGTCTGAGTCATAAGGAGGGTAAGTAAAGGTCAAATACATCCCCCTCATAAGCTCCACTTTATTTATTTCTCTTTCACATCCCTTCCAGTGCTCTTGCAAGGTTAACTGGTTCTAGAAACTTACGCAAGTCAGACTGTAAGTAGACTGGAAACTGCTATTGCTAATTGATTATTTTCCCAGCTCTACCTGTAGAAATGGCCATGGAGAACAGGTGTGACTCTCTTTCCCCTCCCTTAGTGGGCACTAATTTCTCATAAGGGCACTCAGGGCTCATGGCAGAGGTGATATCTTTTATTAGACCAACAAGATTTTTGCCAAAAAAAAAAAAAAAAAATTAATTGCAAGCTTTCGGGCACAAACACTCTTAATCAGGCATCAGAGAAAAGTTAGTAAAAGTTCTGCTGGGTAGAAATGAAAGTTAATTTTTCTGAGGATTTCACAGAGGAGTCAATAGTTGTAAAACTCCTCTGGGCAGGCAGGTCTTAGCTGGTCAGGAGTCTCTCAGCTCTTGTGAGGCTCTGTGATGATGGGAATGTTCCATGTATTGACTCTTCTGTGAAATCCTAGGAAATATGAACTTTCATTTCTACCCAGCAGAACTTTTACAATCTTTTCTCCGATGCCTGATGAAGGGTGTTTGTGCCCTAAAGCTTGCAATTAAAGATTCTTTTTTTTCAAAAATCTTGTTGGTCTAATAAAAGATATCACCTCTACCACAAGCCCTGATTGCCTTTTCTTCTAGATCAATATGGCTGCAACTTAGATACCTCATAAAGGTACTAATTTTACTCATTCTTCTGTCCTTCTGACTCAGTTAACAAGTTTCTATCCAATAGTGCATGTGTCAGCCGAGAGAAACAAGTTGCCATTAGATTTCCTGTTTGAAGCAATTGGCCAAATTCCCATTGGTCAGCAGGGATCATGTTAAATATATGAAAATTGATGTTTCATTTTAATCACAGAAAAATGTGGATTTGGGGTTACTTTTTTAACTGAAAATTGGGGATTTTTTTAATCAGAGAAAACCAGGATCAGAGTTGATCAGGCCTCTAGGGCAGTGGTCTCCAAAGTGGGGTGCGTGCAAGACGATCCATTGGGGTGCGGGAAGAAAATAGTATAACATCTATTTATATTTATATTTATATAAATACACATATATTGGGGGTGCATGCTCAAAAATTTTTTAGTGATAGGGGTGCGCAATCAAAAAAGTTTGGAGACCACTGCTCTAGGGGGATCTAGTACAGAAAAAGATGACTTACTCCTTGTTTTATTCTCTTTTGCCTAGAAATTGCTTTTACAACTGTTAAGTAGTATTTTTTCATTGCCTTATTTAATTGCTCTCTTACTCAGATCTGCTGAGTGAGGGAATGGAAGAAGCAGAGAGGTGGGTTAGGAAAGAAGCCAAGTGCAGGTTACCCATGATATGAAAAGGAATTGTAGCAGGAAGCCCCTTTTCCTGCCTGCCCCTCCTCCCCCAACGACCCCTCCCAGGGTAACAAGGAGCTTTCCCTTCCATCAATAATTCCCCTCTTTGGATATGTCTCTTCTCTTCTATCTTTTCTTCCTTCCTCCTTTTTCCTTTTCCCTCTCTGACTACAAGGTATAGAATTATTTAGGTATTTTTCTTTCTGGTATAAGGAATCATGTATTATGAAATTACATAGGTGCTCTACATTTGTAGGTGTGCATTTATATCCCCCTGGCTCCTGAATGAACGAGTGGATCAGTAATTGAATGCGTAACACAGTAGCTAGCTACAGTAACAAGTTAACGAGTGGTATTTGACACCTACAAAACCACAGATTAACGAGAGGAAGAAATCAATAGGGGCCAATGTAGCAGCTGAGAACTCCCTGAACCTTCATTGTTAAAGGGACAGAAGCCCAGTTTTGAATTAATCAGAGACTAAAACCAACTTTCAGAGCTGACTATCACCAGATCGACTGCTCCCAAAGCCCTATTCATGACAACAATAAATTAATCAAAATTCATCAACTGACTCCTTAAACTGCATGTACCCACAGATGTGACCCCTGGGGCTGATAGCTGCTATTCAGTAGCCACTAAGGGGGATGTCCCACAAGGGTCAATGACCCCTGGATTGGTCAAGCCAGAAAACTGGGGATTCACCAAAGTCTGCCAAAGACAGATAAAAGGCAGTGAAGAGTAACCCTCAATGGCGCCCTCTTGAGCTTCAACTTGCCCAGCACCCAACCTGTCCAGCTACAAAGACCAGCCAGCAACCCCCTTCTGGAAGTCAACTTCTTCCAGCTTCATGTTGGAAGAAGCCTCGACTTGCTATCAATGGCTGACTCCAACACTCATGGGATAGGTATACTTTACTCTGGTTCTTCACAGATATTCATAGCTAGCTACTGTGTGTGTGTGCACATGCACGTGCATGCATGAGTGTGTGCTTGAGGGGATTGGCTCCAAGGTTTATGATTTGATTTCATCACAACATTTCAATCCATCTGATAAACTAGAATTTTAAGGATCCTGAGTTGGTCATTCGTAGCCAACAGAATCAAAAATCACAAGGTTGAAAGGGACCTCTAGATTCATCTGGTCCAATCTCCTGAATGAATACTGCAATGCTATTCCTAAACCATCCTGGACCTTCTTATCCATCCCTCCCACCCCCCACCATGAAAACCTCCAGTGAAGGAGATAACACAACTTCCTTGGGCAGTCTCTTCCATTGTCTTACTGTTGTAACAGTGAGACTGTTTCTCCTGTGATCTAATTTAAAGCTATTACTTCATGTCCTACCTTCTCTTACCAAAGGAGAACAATTCTTCTCCATCATTTTTGTGCCAGCCCTTCAAATATTTGACAGCTGCTCCCATGTTCCCCATTGACTGACTTTTCTTCAAGCTAAACCTCAGGAAAGACTAGCTTTCAACTACCTGAAGGGTGGTTCCAAAGAGGATGGAGCTAGACTGTGTTCAGTGGTGGCAGATGGCAGAACAAGGAGCAACGGTCACAAGTTGCATCTAGGGAAGCTCAGGTTAAATGTTAGGAAGAATTTTCTCACTAAGAAGGTAGTAAATCACTAGAACAAGTTACCTAGAGAGGTGCTAGAAGCTGCACCTTAGAGGTTTTCAAGACCTGTCTAGACAAAGCTTTGGTTGGGATGATCTAGTTGGGGATGGTCCTGCTTTGAGCAGGCATTGGACTGGATGATCTCCTGAGGTCCCTTCCAACCCTCATTTTCTATGATTCTATCCTCTGCCTAGGATCCCTGCTGAAAAATATTCATTTGTCGTGCACTGAAATGAGGTCAGTGAGATTTGGAGTTAATCCCAAAATATGGAAAATAGTTTATTGGGGATTTAATCCAATTGAAACATGAAAATGATTTATCTCTGCATCTTAAATGCAATGCCTTTAGATACTGTGCATAAATAACGTAAGTATTAAAGATGGTCCCAGTTTCTCTGATGGAATGTTTTTACACTAGAGAGTTCATTCAGTCTGTCACAGAGACAGTTTTATTTGGAGGGAGTTGCCTTGGATCCAAGGCAGGGGTCTGACAGAGTCTTTCCTGGTTTTCTTTCTATTCTTTGACAGCTTGTCTAGTAAGTCATGGAGGAGGCTGGATTTCTTGGTAGTCCCCTTCTGGGAGTCATTGCTTGTAAGCTTAGATGTTCCTGTCTCAGATTAGCTTCCAGCTTTCCTTTAGCCCAACAGGCAGAATAACAGAAAGCTGGAAGCTTGAAAGCTCTAGGGGTGGGTTTGCAAGCTGTCAGTCTCACAGCTTCTTGGCACTTTGTCTCCATGGGCTTCCAGCTATCTTTGCTGTGGGGAAGCCCTGAGGAAGCCTGCCCTAAGCCATGACTTCATTACTGTTCACAGGGAATGTCAAACATTTTTTTCTACTTTTTTGTGCTGAATTGCAACAAACCACATTTCAAAATATCAGAATCCTCCATGAGAAATAATCACTCTTCATATAGCTGTAATAAGTGATTTTAACTAATATAGTACTTGCTGACTATATAATTACAACATATGGTAAAGTACTGTATCGTTTACTCATTTCAGGTCTTGATGACACAAGTTGTCTAATTGACTTGTGCATGTGGGACTACTTGCATGAGTGAGGCTTGCAGAATACATAACATAGATACTACTAAAAATTGTTCCTTTTTATTTTTTGCTAGGAAAGATAAATATTCTTTATATGATTGTAAGAGTTGCTGTATCATAAGATGATTCTAATTGTTCTGGAGCTGTTAAAATTATCATCTTTTTAAAATGACGAAGTAGGCTTTATTGAAACCCATTCTAAATTACTTCCCCAGATCAAATGCTCTTGCAGTCCCAAGCAAGACTCACATTACGCGAATCTTGCTGAAAAGCCCAATTAGTGTTTTTCACCTTTACCACAGGACATGATTAGGGACATGATCAAAAACATCTATCTGTTTGAACTGGCCAGGTTTGTGGGCAATCACTTTTATCTTGCAGATCTCCTCTTTGTATTAATTACAAAGGTTTTTGTTTGTTTGTTAAAATTTATTTTGTTTTGTATAGGCAGAAAGGAAACAAATTATAAAAGCACATTTTTTAAATTTTGTAAAATAACTGTGAAAGTTACTTGTTTCTTCATTTATACATAAGTTTTATTTTGTGATGATTTACTGTCTAGATAGTGGGCCAAATTATGTTGGATCATATAACATTTCCTTGAAGAGATTTTTAGTTATTCATGAGCTTAATTGAAAGTAGAATTTGTGCCTGTATCCACAGACTATATATAGTGGTTGCACAAGACAAATATGCTTGTTTGTTTGTTTTTAATATGATAAACTGGGTAAAAGGAATATGCCTCCTTAAATACTTAAACGTATACAGAATATATTACTCAGGAAATGAGTATTATAAACTTTAGTGAGATTCTTCATGTGCTTAAAACTATACAAATATATAAGCTGATGGGTACATCTAGACTATTATTGACATCCTCACTATGCCATGCATGCCTGGAAAGTTATATTAATCATATATGTGAACTACCAGAATTTTTGCAAAAGCTTTGTTAAGACTGAAGACTTAGCCTGCTAATGGACAATAAGCGCGTACAAACAAATCT